ATATCGGTTATCGGCTACATGAGATTTAAAATATCGGCATATCGGATATCGACCAAAATCCCAATATCGTGCATCCAGACTCAGGACAATGGGAGATGGAGCATTTTGTGCTGCTGCCCCACGTCTGTGGAATTCCCTCCCTGACACCTTGAGGGCTCCTCAGTCCACTGAGTGTTTTCAAAAAGGCCTTAAAACATTTCTTTTTAGCAGAACTTTTGGTCCCCCCTTAGATGTTTTCTTTTTTCTCTTTTAAAACAGCTTTTATTATTTTATTTATTTATTTTTTTTTCTATTTCTATGTATTTCTTTTTTAATGCTTTTTTAAATGCTTCTTTGTAGCACTTTTTTGGTGAAAAATGCAGTATAAATTAAATGAATTATTATTATTATTATACCACTCTCCCACTATTTTGATAAGGCTGGAGCCATGGATGTCTCCTCATCTGCAAACGTGTGTGATGTAATCATGTGATGATGTAATGATGAGGGGTACCGGAGTTGTATAAAATGCTTCTCTCACAGGTATTGGGAGCCACTTTAATGAGATGTGAGCCCGGTTGGTAAGCAGCTACATCCTGTAACTCAGAGCAACTTCTCTCTTCTGAGTAAGATTAAAATTTCTGTCCAAAATCTGTTGTCATGTCTTCTGGTTATTTGATACATATACATCACAAAGAGTTATTTAAAGAGTTTAAGCCGAGTTATCTCTTCTTAGGAAAAGAACCGGAGAGAGAAAGCTTCAAGGTGCAACTACAAAGCTTTCCTTTAACAAAGCATATTGATTTTAATTTGGATATTTTCAGGACCTGTAGGTGAGGGGGGCTCCAGGAGTACAGGGTCCTCCTACTTGGGTCATTTGGCCTCTTTAGAAGGAGAGCAGGAAGTTTTAGTGCAAGTTGGTTTATTTTGCACTCATTATTATTATTATGCTCCCAAGCTGATAGTCTGCTTAAAACTCCTGCTGACGTCTCCCTGGTGCTTCAACAGAGCAGCCATGACATCCCTGAGCCCCAGCTGGGTGAGCTGCTAGTTTTTACTGTTAAAAGGGGAAAATTGAAGGATTCCATTAACCCACATGTCATTTTATCCTGCAGGTAAACACCCAGCAGAGTCTCTTAGTTGCTCCACATTCAGAGGACATTTCCACTGAAGTGTGTGGGAGCACTTGGAGTGCAGCCAGGATCTCCAGATGACAACTTTCGCTCAGTCTGTGTTTTCTCTCTGATCTTTGCTCCAGACGTTGGCATGCCAGCTGACTCAAAAGCTTGTTTACTACAGCTTTGTACCAACGCTGGCCTGAATTCTCCCTGCAGTCATTTACCAGCAGTAAACATTAGTGTGGCATTTAGCTGCCACGCATCCTCCCACCACTCCTCTGGCATAGCTCAGGCCTCTACTTACAGAGACAGCATCACACCCGCAGAGGTTCCAGCTAATTCACTCTCACACAGCCACACTGTTTTCTAGGAGACAAACAAAAAGCCTCTGTGGAAAACGGAGCTTAAATAGTCTGAGGGTGCTTCAGTCTCTCCTCGTTTGTTGGAGCTCGGGATGCCAGACGTCCTCGTGTTCTTTCTCAGAAATGTTGACTGTGCTGATGGATGGATTTCTGCAGCCTCTCTAAATAAAAGCTGACGTGCAGCCTGCTGCCTATTTCTAGGAGTTGAGCTAATGTCTGTAGATTGCTGCTGAGTGAAGATGAAAGAAAAATTGGTGCTATTGAGGAGAGTGCTGCTCTGAGTCTGGAATTACTGGCAGGAGCGACTTCTGGAGGAGCTATAAAAAAAAAGACTTCCGGACACAAAATAAGGTGAAAGCCAGTTACTTTGCTCTTCTAAGCAATATCCAGCTATTTGAATCTTGAATGCTGAAAAAAATCATCCAACCGGTTTTTCATGCCTCTAAAACACACAAATAATATAGGATGGGCAAAGTCAAAGAAAAATGTTGTTTTGTCTCACCTTTTCATGTCATTCAACATTTCAGCTTAGTTGGACTAATTTCACCAAAGGAAAAGTTCTACATATGAAGCTACAATTGACCAATTTAGCAGTTTTAACAAACCCAAGGTGAGTCCTTCCTGCATGTGTGACAGGTATACTTTATGCAGT